CCAGCACCTGGATGCTCGGTCTGAGGATCCTGTGCACCTAGGATGGGGGCATCCCCCATGCCAGGCCAGGCCCCTCTTATTCCAGCCTCCTTTGCCCTAGAGCTCCTGGAGCCAGCACGGGCTGGGGGCTCATGGCATTTCCCGCCTTCTCTCGGCAGATCCAGATGGTCCGCGAGGGCAAGATGCATGGCTTCCTCCGCATGTACTGGGCCAAGAAGATCCTGGAGTGGACCCGGTCCCCGGAGGACGCCCTGCGCTTCGCCATCTACCTCAACGACCGCTTTGAGCTGGACGGCAGGGACCCCAACGGCTACGGCTGTGGGTGGCCAGCACGGGGCCAGGCCTGAGGGTGGGAGGGGATGCACCCACGTGGGAGCAGGACTGGCAGGGGGGTGTCACCTGCCTGGCTCTGGCACTCTGCGGAGGCAGAGGATCATGAGAAATGTTGCCCAGAGACAGCCTAGAGGAAAGAGCGGGGGTGTTTCTCCCTCTGGGCTGTAGCTCCCGTGGGGCAGCGCCCATCCAAGCGTGCTCTTTTTAGCTCTTTTCTTGCATTTTCCCTTAATTTCCACATTTAGTCCCAATTCCTGAGATAAAACTAGCGCCTCTCTACTTCGGACCTGGTCCATACTGGCCAGCCAGGCAGGCGCAGGCTGCCCATAGCAGAACGGACCTCCCGTCCCCCACGCAGCTGCCCCACAGCACCATCCCTCTCGCCCCCGCGGCTAGGGAGGGTGCCGGGACCCGAGGCGGGGCTGGGCAACCTGACGGGGACCCCTCTCTGTGTGGCAGGATGCATGTGGTCCATCTGCGGCACCCACGACCAAGGCTGGGCTGAGCGGAACGTGTTCGGGAAGATCCGGTACATGAACTACGCCGGCTGCAAGAGGAAGTTTAACGTGGGCCAGTTCGAACACAAGTACCGGCCCTGAACGCTCAGGGGCCCTCGCTGGCCTCCCCGTACAAGTCCACTCCCTCGGAGGCAGGAGCTCTTGCCGCGAGCAGTCTGCGTAGCTGTCCCCGGATAGCGGGGACCGTGCCTTTTCCAGACCAGCTGCTGCACGTCTTTGCATACACTTGCTTGAGAGACTAGTCATGCTGCAGGACCAGGAGACATCCTCTCCCCCGGTGCCGGGTTTTTAGCGCTGCTCTTTCTAGATGGATTGCATCCAAAAAGGAAGTGGCCGGAGGGGAAGGAAAGTGAGCAAGCACCCTGTCACGAGCTCACCATTTTTTGAGGTGTTCATGGAATATTACAGAGGTTTTCTTGGACTGGCTTCACTGCTAGGTCGCGTGCCGTCTTTATAGATAGGTAGCCTTAAACCATGTTCCCCTCCTTATGTCTACGATTTGTGGTATTTGGCTGGTACCAAAGTATTTTTATATTTCCTCTTTTGGCCGGGATTAGTTAATAGGGCAACAATTAGGGCTGCTGCCCTAGCCCCACGTCCGAGGAGTAAGCAACTAGGAAGCGTACATTTAATAACTAATAACATGTAATAACTCAGCGGGCTATTACCTGTTATTATCACCCCAGCAGGTGGTCGGGTGGATACGTGACTCCAGACATGCTCACAGGCCATGACAGCTTCTGTTTTAAAGAGAAGAGGCATCTGGGGAACAGTCCAGCCACAGACTTGTTGGAGGGAATAAGTGAAAGACTTATGGCCCGTAGAGATAAATGATGATATTCAAGGATATCCAATTGGCAATCTTTACGTCTGAAAGGATGTAAGTATTCACCTGGTCGTAACCAGATCGGGGAAGACTTCAAAGCTGATAAGCAGATGCACATCGAGGGGCAAGAAGTATGGAAGTGTGCATAGGATGGGAACCCCAGCAATTTTGTGGATGACGTATATGCTTGGCAGGATTCGATTTTTATCAGTCAATGGTGATAAACATCGATTTCATCTCGCAGGCCCATGAAAAAATATTTCCATCACAAATAATCAAAATGTATAGAAAGAGGATGTAAGAAAAACAATGGCTGATGCAGTGCGTCACGACCAGGAGATCCTGGTTTTCTCCAACTTAAAAAAATCCCCAATTTTCAGTTACTTTTTTTAACTCCAAATTTGCATTTTTCCATTATTAAAATGAAACATCAATATATGCATATCTGTATATTAATGGTGTTCCATTTAAGTCATAGGAAAATGTGGATTTGGGGTTACTTTTTTCAACTGAAAATTGTGGGTTTTGCTTTGTTTTTTTAAATCGGAGAAAAGCAGGATCCCTGGTCACGACCCGGTCCTATATAGCCGTGCTGGCTGTAGTTCGGACTGCAACTCCCAGAAACCCCAGGGGACTGGGAACAAAGGAAAAGGAGGTGACAAAGGGGATGAGGGACCTACAGGTGAGCAGAGTCGCTTTTCCTGCTTGGCTGGTGGCAGTCCTACTGTAGTTACATTGGTCGTTAATAGTCTGGCCCCTAATTTTGCACAATCCTGAAAATGTAAATCAATAAACATCAAAATATATGCATAAAAATTACATTTGACATTATCCATCACCATTATTTAAAAAAATAAAAATCCAATTCTGCCAAGCCGAGCGATATGTATAAATGGCCGAATAAGAAACCATACTTAAGCCTGGCCATGAGAGCAAGTATTTGTCTAAACCAGTGGTTCTCAACCTTGTTAGGCTGCAGACCCCCTCAGAAAAGGCCAGTTCTTAGCTTTCACTTCTTTTTATGACTACAGGATAACACAAGAGCAATTCTCCCATTGCATGGGACTCAGAGAGACTGCAACAGGGCAGCATGGTTTTTAACACCATGGATTCCTGTTTGAAAGCTCTGGGTTTATCATGTGAATCATATTTGCACACCTAACCGTGCCAACACTGCATGGCACCCTTGAAAGGATCTCAAGGCACCCTGGTTAGGCATTACTGGTCTACTTTACAGTTTCTTGGGTGTAAGGTGCTCTAGTCCCGCACTGGCTTAGCTGGGCAGCACAAGCTGAGAGCCTGGGGGAAGATTTTGGCTTGGACAGAAGCTGCTTTTTTAGAGTTTAGGGATAAAGTAAAAGCATTGGTCTGATATTTCCCTTGGTTTATTCTTATATCTTAGTGGTTCCTGATGCCTTATAGCGGTTTTGTAATAAACCTTTTTGCTGTTCTGACTCACTTAGTGTCACTGCTGGGATTCTGTGGATTTCATGGATGTCAGGGTCAGAAGGGATCTCAGTAGATCATCGAGTCCGACCCCTGCCCTGGGCAGGAAAGAGCGCTGGGGTCAGACGACCCCAACTCGGTGCTTGTCCACTCTGCTTTTAAAGACCCCTGGGGCAGGGGAGAGCACCACCTCCCTTGCAGCCCATTCCAGATTCTGGCAACCCTCGGTGTAAAGAAATGTTTCCTAACATCTAAATCTGCTCTCCACCAGTTTATGGCCGTTGTTCCTAGTAATCCCAAGGGGCGCTCTGGTAAACAGAGTATCCCCTATTTCTTGCTGCCCCCTCGATGAATTTGTAAACGGCTATAAGATCCCCTCTCAGGCTTCTTTTGCGGAGGCTGCAGAGATCCAGGTCCATCAATTTGTCCTTACCCATAGGCCCATAACCAAGCGGGTGGCCCTCCTCTGAACCCTGTCAAGGTTGTCCACATCCCTCCTGAAGTGCGGCGCCCAGACCTGGACACAGTACTCCACCTGCGGCCTGACCAGTGTCGCGTAGAGGGGGAGGATCACCTCCTTGGACCTGCTAATGCAGGACCGCATGTGGTTGGCTTTACCAGTCGGTTCATCACGTCGACAACTCTTGTTCATTTTGGAGTCAACTATGACTCCAAGATCCCTTTCCACTGCTGAGAAAGTCATTTCCCAGCCTATAGGTGTGTTGGCAATTCTTTCTCCCTCAATCCAGCACTTCACATTTATCTTTGCTTAACTGCATCCTATTCTGTTCTGCCCACATTCCCAACCCGTCCAAATCCGCCTGAATCCGCTCCCTGCCCTCCAGCGTGTTTACTTTGCCCCACAATTTGGTGTCATTCACAAATTTGGCCAGAGTGCTTCCCACGCCCTCCTGTAGTAACCTTTGCCACCAGTCTCGCATGTAGGTGTTTGTGGAGCAGCTAATGGGGTTGCTGAGACTGGAAGTGGGTGGGAGGTGGGCTGAGGCTAAGGCCAGGACACCTACAGCAGCATAAGAAATGCTCCCATAAGGGGCAGTTGGGCAGTGATGTTGGGGCGCAGCTCCAGCCAGCTAGTGGTAAAGCTGGCTGCGTGGCACAGGCCATGACAGTACGGCGCACGTGTGTCTGCAGGGCTGGCGGGCACCGTTTGGGCCCTGTGGTTGCAGATCCTACCTTGGATGATCCCTGCCCCCCTCCTCTGAGCATGCTCCATCTCCACTTCCAGCGACATGTATTTGTGGCCTGTTTGCACCCAAGTGCTTCTGCACGAACATCGTCCTTCAAAGGACACCAAAGAGCCATTTCGGCTTAAACACCTCCTGGGTTCAATACCACCCCCACAATACACATTGATGGAGAGCAGGGTCATCCCCTCTCTGGCCCTCAGCCTTGTTCTCTGGGGCTCTGTTCTGTCCAGCAGCAGCTGCCAACTCAGGCCATTTGTTCCCATTAGATCCATGCCCTGGCTAAGGCAGGGCTGGGACATATTGGCTGAGTGAGCACCGATGCCACAGCTGTGGGAATGGCCAAGCCAAAGATGCCCCTGTAAGCACCAAGCAGCTTATGCTTTGCTATATAGCACCCGGAGGGATGGAAGGGGGCTGTCACGCTTAAGCCCATTCCCCAAATTGGCAACACCTTTCCTTGTTGCTTGGGGTTCACTCTGGGACTCGTCTATCCATACAGCTAACAAGCCCAGTCCTGCTTAACTAAAACTATTGCGTAGGGTTTGCTTTGGTTTCTCCACCCAGCTACCACCGGGTTGCTGATGCCAGACACGTGCCCATGGCTGTGGAGGACCTCAGCTCTGCAACTCCCCATTTCTTGGAAGTAAAATTTAAACACTTGGCTGCTTTCTCCCAGCCGTAACTATTCACACCAACACCACTGGGCAAAGCAGGCCAGCCAGCCGTGTTTTTCATTAACTTAGTTTATTAGGGATGGCATGGTCATAGGTAGGCTGTGTCGTACCATAGTGGGCAGCAATCCCATTCTACCGTGTACAGCACAGCACCACCCTTCTCCCTACACCCAACGTGCCAACTCACGGCGGGCGGTGTTACATGTAGGGGTAAATACTGTCCTACCTTGGCAAACGGGTCAGTAACAGCTTCATTAGTGTTGCGCATAATTGTAAGACCCTCCACTGTGTCCAGAAAAACCCCTCTTCCAGAAATCCCTATCATCAAGGGGGGGAAGGGGGAAATACCCCGGATCCATTCACTGTGTCGGACGGTAATCAGTGCTTCTAGAAATGGCCGTCGAGAGGCTGTGTCACCCCAGCAGTGCCTCAAAGGATTAAAGTGCTTCGAACAAGTTTTGGAGGGACGTTGTCTGAGCTGGCACAGCTCATCCGTGGGCTCAGCCCTAACCGAGCTGGCCAGTAGTGCAAGGTTCGGCCCAGGCGTGGCTGCTGCCGGAGGAGCTGTCGGCGTCCGTGGGAGGGCGAGTCACCGCGTGGCAGAGTCTGTGGGACAGTGTCAGCATCCAGAGCTTCTGGGCGGCCAGACCCGGCCGGCTGTCAGCAGCAAGACCGTTGCTCGGCTCGGCTTGGAGGATGAGGAGAGCAGAGGCAACTCCTGGGCACCGGTGGACGGTGGAGCTGGGGACATGGCTGCTGCGAGGCCCCCAGGGCTGGGTGTTCAGAGCCGAGCGTGAGAGCAGCCTGTGCAGAAGTCACTTCCCGGCCAGGCGCGTGCGAGGGGGCAGTTTCAGGCTGCGCTGAGTACCCTGGACGGTAGCATCGCAGCTGTTTGGTTGACAAGGGGGCATTGGTGCTACTCTAAGGCCTTCCCTCTTGTGTTTTAACTCTCACACGGGCCCCACTCTCCACCCTGTGGACCTGTGCAGGAAACACCCCGCTGTCATTGTGCCCCCCCGCGGACACATCAGGGCACCCAGAGCCCTGCGTAACCCCCCGCTGTGTCCAACCCAAGCTCATCCCCCCCTCCCTGCAAGAGCATCCCCTGCCTGCCAGGCTGCAGCTGGACGGGGCACTACAGCTCTAGTTCAGTCACTCCAGGGGGACAATGCTGCTGGGTATAGAGAGCAAAGCAACCTGCCCATGGCCCATGGGGTTGGGGTGGGGGGGTTCCCTTCTCAATTTCCTCTTTCAAGCCAAAGCAGCCACACAGCCGGCCTTCCCCTGCCCCAAGAGAATGCACCAGCCTCGGTCCTTCACAGCTACTTTCAGCCTGCCTTCCCACCCAGGGACGTGCCACTGCTGCCCATGGAGCTGAGCCTGCAGGACAGGGTCCTCAGCCCAAAGCACTAGCTGCACAGCCAGGGCACAGTCCCAGATCTCACCCTGCACCAACACTTCCAGACGACACACCGACCCTCACCTCTGTCACGTGCACAATCACCTTGCTCAATGCCCAAGGCCAGAGCTCCCTGCGGCCGTGCAGATGCCCCCACGAGCACTCTCTCCAGGCCTGTACAGAGCAGAGCTGTTGTAGGGAGGAGCAAACAAGTGGCAGTAGGAACCCATTTCATCTCCCCGCATCCCAGCTCCAAACCTCCAGTGCCGGGGGCTTTCCAGCTAGTCAAGGCTGGTTCTGAGCATACACCCAGCACAGACAGCGACAAAAATAGGGACATACGCACATGGAGCCTGTTTCACGGACTGGTGGTAGTAAGCCCCATGCAGGTCTGTGCTGGACAGGACAGCTACGCCAATCCCAGGAGATGCACCTCTGTGCTGGGCAGTGAGAGTCAATGGGAACAGGTCATTAAAAGATGCCCTGTCCCTACTGAACTGTGGTAAAAAATAATCATAAACCTAAATCTAAGATCAGGACAATTAAAATGACCCAGCAAATGAGGCTGAAAGAAGAGGACGGGACGGGAGCACTGCAGCTGAAGATGCAGGCTCTGGAGGGTGATGGGCAGCTGGTCCTGTCCACTGTCGCTGGAGAGATGCTGCTAACAGCCCTGTGTGCCCATGAGGGCAGCCAGGGTGGAGGGAGCACAGCATCAGGGTGGAGGCCTGGAGCTGGGTTCAGATCTCAATGATGGGGTCAGGAACCAGCTGGGGTGCACCTCCGTTGCCTGGCACTGTGGCCATCCTGCCAGACTGCCCCAGCGTAGCGCAGCGCATCACCCAGCAAGAAGCAATGCCCTCACAGCTGTGGCAGGGAGAGGAGGGGGTGGGCACAAGTCACCCCCACACCCACACTGTCCTGACAACATCTCCACATGCCATGCAATGTTGGGCTGCTTCCACGTGGGGCTGGCACCACAGCAGGCATAGTTCCTCCTGCCCGGACTTGCTGGAGAGGGCCAAGCTGGGGGAGAGCAGGAAGCTGGCACCTGGAGTTTGGGTGCTGGCTGACCCCGATCCCTGGGTGAGAGCTCAGATGGGGACCCAGAAGGCTTCTTGTCTGGAGGGACGCAGCAGCTCAGCCCACCCTCACAAACTTCCCCGTCTTCCCTCCCCTGGGTCCATGCAGCTCCACCTCAAGAGCAGCCTGTCAACACCCTGGGCAGCGAGGGGAATCTCCGAAGCAGCAGGTGGGCCCTGCCCCCTGCCATCCTTTGGGAGCCCCTCTCACCCCACTATAGCCCAGGCACGTCCCGAGCAAAAGCAGGGCTGCAGACTGGCCGAGGCACTGTTCACAGCATCCCAGCGGTAAGGAAGGTTCTTGTGAAGAAAACCCACAGCAGCAAAGGGCAGGGGAGGGCAGCAGAGAGGCCTCAGCAAAGCCCTCAAGGCGCAGCTGGTCCAGCAGCACGTGGAGTCGAGACAGGCTCTGGGTAGAAGCTGCTGCCAAAAGGTTAACAGGAAGGGGGTGTGGGGCTGTTGCTCCTTCACTGAGGCCCAGGCTGCACGTGGGGCAAGGCTGGGACTCGCCAGCACCTGGAACAACCCCCCCTATCCCGTCTACTGGACCACGACCCACGGAGAAAAGCAACACTGCCCGTGAGGCAGAGCTGGTCCCGCCAGCACTGGGGGCTGGTGCTCGAGGTCCCCGTGTCTCAGCCCCGCGGAGCAGTGCAGTGAGTCAGTTCCAATCTGTCAGTCGGTCCCTGCAGCCGGAGGCCCTGTGTGCCTGCTGGCTCTGCTCCCTCCTCACGTGGCGGCTGCTGCCTCCCGTGGCTCCGGCTCCTCCTCGCAGTCCGAGGTGCATGACTCCAAGCTCTGCTTGGCCAGCAGCTCCCTCCGGGCCTGGAGCCGCTCACACTTGGGGCAGGGCCCCACCTTGAAGCAGGATTTGTGGTAGCAGGCCTTGCACTCTGCAGGAAGAGACAGGCAAAGAAACTGTGAGCCACGGGCCGGGGCCACACAGACTGCACCTACCGTCCTCCCCCACTGTCACCTCCATCCCAGGTCTCCTGCTGCATGGCCTCCCCACCCCAGTGCAAGGGGCAATCCTAGCCCTACACTCCACACCCTAGTGAGGCAGCTTCAGGGCTTCTCTACACAGCTCCTACGTGATCCTCCCCATGCCCTGATGTGAGCATGCAAAACACACCACTGCCAGCACTGCGGCTGGGGGTACATCCCCCAGGACAAGGGACCAGGCAGGCATGCTGTGCTTTGGTGACATCCCAGGTCCTACACTACTAAGGCAGCGGTGCGAGTACCTCCATGACAAACACAAGCACCCTAAGACTGTCTTGTTGCCCGGTGGCCTGGACTGGTCTGGACAGCCCAAGAAACTGGTGCTGAGATATAGAGAGACTGTGTGGTCATCAGCACAGACCGACCTGGACAAAGTTCCCACTTACCGCCCTCGCTGGCTTGAGTAAGATGTTTTCAGGCTGGCTCTGCAGCGCAAAGCCACCCTGTCCCTGAGGTCCCTGACTGCCAACTACAACAGCATGGCACCTGAGAGGGAAAGGGCACGATGCCCTCATCTGTTCCCCACATCCATGTCTTTCCCTGAGCTGGGTCCAGGCAGTGCCTGCCCCTCAGCCACAGCAGCAGCAAGTCCACGCCCTGCAGGTAGTGCCCTGCTGGACTTTACATGTGCACATTGGGGCAGCTGTCCCACAGTGCCTCTGCAGTGGGTGGCACACACAGGGGTCTGGCTCTCTGGGATGCTCATTGCAGATAGCTGGCAGAGGTCTGTAGGTGCCACTGGAGGGTTCTGGCCAAAGTGAAAGGCCACTTGCCAACCAGTTACAGACAGCAGCGGAGTAGACCAGTGCCAGAGACTCCAGCTCTGCAGCACCTGCCATCTTGGTGACAGGACACTTCTTAAACCTGCTGCAGACAGAGGCCAGTTGTGGTTCGAGGCAGCTTCAGCCCCAGCTGGGCGCACCCCTGGTCAGTCCCTGAGGGTGCAAGCAGCCCCATCCCGGTGTTCAGGTCCTCTGGGTCCCAGCTGGCCTCTCACCTTCGCATGTCCTGCACTTGTTCAGCTCAAAGGGGAAGATGATGTCGTCCTCGTTCTGGCAGAACTCACAGATGAAGCCTTTGGCTTGACACAGCTGCAAGGACAAGAGGGCACAGTGGTTAGGGAAGCAGGCGAACACACCAGGGTTTCCTGGCCACAATGAAGGCAGAGGGAGCAGCAGCCTGGAGCCAGGAGACTGGTTCCACTGTGGGGACGATGCCAGCCCCTGGGACAACCTCTGTGCCTGTTCATCCCCATGCCAAGAGCTGGCCCTCCTCACTGGCTGTGACATGGTGTCATCACTCATGCAGCACAGGAGACACTGCTACTCGAGAAGCCGTACAACAAGGTGGTGGAAATGAGCAGCCCATTACAACACCGCAGCGGCTAGGCGGAGGCAACCAGGAGCTGGGCGTTCACTAGCTCTTGTGGAGTGGGAACGTGACATCTCTGCTGTAGGCACCTATCATGGCACCTCCTGTCAGCAGCCAGCCAGGGAGAGCCAGTCGTGCATCTGCTCCTTAGAGCCAGATCTGGGGTAAGCTACTCCATGGCCATCAGGCCACATCCACACCAGCCAGCTCCTCATGGCAGGGACTGCATCTTGCCCAGCACATGCATTGCCCCTTAGCTAGTGTTCTGCGAACGCTAAGCTGTGGTTCCCACCAGCTATAGCATAAACACACCCACCCGAGGCTACACACTCCCTGCTGCTGAACTCAGAGCCACCTAGTTACATCTGTTCTCTTTCGACTTCCCGAAAAGACTCTATGCTTCATCAAGAGAGCAGCCAGCCTACAAAGAGCTTTGGGTGGGAAAAGTAACTTCTGCAGTTCCCCTGTGTGTGATAATGGTCTCCAGATCCCATTCCTGCCCCTGCTAGAACAGGCCATGCTCCTGCCAGCTGAAACCCAAGATTTATTGGGAACTAAGCACACCAATGAAACCACCAGAATCACAGAAAACTCAGTTCCCAGCTAGTTAGCCATCACAGCATGGAGGACCTGGCTAAAATGCTCTCAAAGACTCAATTCAAACCCTGCTCCATCTTGAGCATACCCAGGACCTCAGATTACCCTGTGATCCTAAGCTGTGCTCCGCCCTGTGATCCTAAGCTGTGCTCCAGGTGAAGTCACCAGGGGGGAAACATGGCCCCAGGGCACGCTGAGGGGCTGTCTGCACTAGGGGTTGCAGCAGGGTTTGGCCACGTCAGGGCATGGTGCTGTAGCCAGCTCCCTTCTGCATTCTTGTGGTGCAGCCTGGCCTGGAGAGCAGATGTAGGCAAATGTCACGCCTTGATGTCTGCTGGGATCCATCTCCCAGGCCTTCCCTCCTGCTCTCCCAGCCTCTTTCCTCTCCACATCCAAATCAGGTTTCATGTCATCGTTCTAAATCAAACAGGAAGAGCTGGGAGAGGGTCTATGGGCTGCACCATGATGGCAGAGACAAGTGGGGGAATGCCCTGAACATTTCCCGTGCACCTGGGTGGAAAAGGCAGGATTTAAACCCCGAGGCTTCTCCCCATAAGGGCTAGAAAGTTCCTTCCTGCTTCTGGTCCATCTCAGAGCTGCCCCCCCCACATGCCAGTGCACAAAGCAACCTACCACGCATCTCTCAACATGCAGAGCCCCGGCCTTCACGAGCTCCGTCAGGTGGGGAACAAGGTCCCCCTTCTTGGTGGTGCTCAGGTCGTTGAGGGAGTAGAGGTGGAGGTCTTCCGTCAAGTGGCCGGGCACCGCGTCAAAAGAGTCCAGGAGCCTGCAGGGGCAAAAGACCAGAACTCAGAGAACAGCAGCAGGAGACCTCCCCCCTCCACCGTGGGGTCCCACTGCCTCTCCGGCTCCCCTGCCTCTAGACTATGCTAAGAAGACCTGTCAATAGTGCCCGCTTCACCCCCTCCAGACTATCAGATGAGCACCAGCCAGTGCCTCGCAGCTGCAGATCATGGCATCTGGGCTGCTCCACCCCTTACCAGGGCTAAGACAGAAGCTTTGGGGACCAGGGCAGCTGCCTGAGGAGGCTGGAGCCAGCTGTTTTGGGGACATAAAGGGAAGTCCACAAAAGGCAGCAGCAAAGCAACTGTCCTCTTGCCCTGCAGGGCCTGAGCACAGGGATGAGGGCCCTTAGCAGCTGAGCCCTGAGAAGGGGGCTGAGCTGAGGTGCCCCTTGCATATGGTGACAGTTCCCAAAAGGCCCACCCTGTGCCACACAGGCACCCAAGGACCCACACAGTAATGTAATGGGTTGGCACAGGCCAGGCTGGATGAGGGGTATTCGCTGATACTCACTCCTTTGCCAGGCGGCAGGTCTTGAACATGTTCTTCATATGGAACAGCTGGACCCTCAGGAGCTGGAGGACATGGGGAACAAGGCTGCTGTGAGACAAGCAAGCCCTGAGCCAGCACAGACCCTTCTCTTTCAGGTCACGCTCTCCCGACCTCCTCCCCACTGTCTAATTGGCTTGGGTGTCCTTGGCACTGAGCAGCTACATCAGTGAGTAAAGCAATAGGAGCGGCCAGCCTCATGCTTCTGGGCACAAACCAAGACCCCTGCTGAGGTCAGGAAAAACACCCTGCCCACAGCATCTAACTGGGCAGCGGATGAGAGGCTTGAGCCCATCTCCCGCCTCAGAGAGGAGCCCCAGCCAGCAGGCCACAACTGAGCACTGGGCCCCAGGTGGTACATAACAGCAGGTTGGTACTTTCTTCCTTGTTTCAGAGTGTCAGAAGCAGCCACTTCCCCACAAAGCCCCTTCAGGAGCTATCACCAGTTCCACGTAAGGAGGGACAAACCCAAGTTTCACCAGTGGAAAGGCAGCTGGGCATCAGGCCCAGTCACCCACAGCAGGGGTGCCACAGGGGACGTGGTTTGCACAGCAGGGTGCCACCTCTGCGACTCACTGTGGCAAGTCATGTACGGACTCAGTGCCTGTTTCCCCACCTGTTAAACAGGGATGATGCTCCCTGCCCAGTTTCATGTGCTCAGAGATCTGGACGTAATACCCATAATGGGAGGGCTAAGTGACAGTGGCAGGGAGGGCTTGCCAACATGATGAGGGCAGTACAGACAGCATCCCTCTTCCCCATAACTCACCCCACAAAGCTGCTCACATCTACGGATCCACTCCCCCCCCCACCCCAGGGGAAGGGTAAGCCCTGGGGCTCCTGGAACATACCCGGACTTGGTTGAGGGGTTTGATCTTGCGATACAGCGCTGCGTTGATGTCCTGCATGTTGAAGAGCGGGTCACTCCAGATCTTGCCCAGCAGGTCCTTGGAGAAGTTGCTGACGTAGTACTTGCTGAAGTCCCACTTGCGCAGGATGCGGCTAGGGATGGCCATTTGCGCGTTCTCGTGGCAACACTGGCAGAAGTACTTGCCCAGGTACTCGCAGTACCGCAGCCGCTTGATGTAATCTGAGGGCAAAAGCAGACATCGGATTTCTCCCCAGGACCAAGCCTTTTCACCTGAGATCCTACAGATGTAAGAGCCCGCTGTCCCACTTGGAGTCCCTGTGAAGCATGAAAGAGAACCCTTTTCCCCAGGATGATCGTGGCACATTTGAGTCCAGTCCAGGGACAAGCCATATGTGAAAAGGACTGTGCTGCTCCCAGGTTCATCTCAAATGCAACATCTGTTTTTACCCAAAGGGATCCAGGAGGGGGAAGGAGAAAGGATCAGCTGCAGTGGGACCAGCTCAGGACAGAGCCTGAGGCTGCCTTTAATCCTGATCATCCTGAGCAGAGCTTGCAAGGAGAGAACCACTTGGTCCCTGCAGAGAGGGGCCTGCCACAGCCCCACACAAAAGCATGGAGCACAGCAGTCTCCTGCCACCCGTTTTCACCCCCAGAGGCCAGGACTTGCCTGTACCTGGGGCACCTGCAGCTTCCCACCCTATCCCTACAGCTGGGAGAAGCAAAGGGTTCCAGTCCTCTGTGAGCCACGTGCCCAGCATCAATGCAGCTGCCTGCCTGGGGCCCTGCCCATCCCTCCAAAAATCCTGCAGATCCTGGAAAGTGACTGATACCCAAGAACCATCACCTGAATCCAAGGACATAGCCATGCTGGTTCCACGGCTGAACATCACGGGCACCAGAGAGTTGGGGGCAAACTGCAGTGAGCAAAGGCTCTTCCCCCCAACCCACACATAACAACTGGACTCTAGGCTTTGCTTCTGAGCCTCAGGGCTGAAATGCATCCAGAGCCGTTCCTGTCTACAATGCCCCCCTGCTGACTACTGCCACGGGGGGGATTCTTCCTTAGGCACCAGCTGGGGCACAGCCAGGCAGGGTCCCAAGAAATGTGCCCCTGAGCAAAGTGACTGCCATGGACCTCAGTCTCCCTGCATCCTCCACTGCACTGCCACCTCCCCCCACAGCAGCCCTTCCTGTCTCCCTTCAGGAGAGGACAAGGCTGCGGCACTCACCAGGGTCTGTCCGGATGCCGCAGCCGGCGCACCGGTAATTCTGCTTCGCCACGGCCACCTTCCTCCTGCAGAGACAAGGAGTATGGTGAGATCAGTGCCATCAAGGGCCTCACATCTGTGCAGCCCAATCTGTGCACATCTGTACAACCCAGTCCCCCCCTCCTGCAGGTCCCGTGGCACCGAACGCACTGCCTGACTGGCATGGACAAGCAGCAAAGGGAAGGCACCACGTCGAAAGCAATCCAGACGGGCAGAGAAGTTAGAGCTAAGGCCAAGGTGGGGCAGGAAGTGGAGGGGAGCAGTTCCCAATCTGGGGCCAGTATCAGAGCCCTGCAGTGAGACAAAGGTGTCCTCTCCTGGAGCAGAGCCCTCCAGAGGGATGAAGGAGGCAGAGTCCAGCAGGTCTGAAGCAGAAACTGGGAGCCGCAGGGACCCATCTGGGCAGTGAGGGGCCCCCCAAGCTGTGGGAAAGGGCAGACAAAGGGATACCCCCCACAGCGCGCAGCCCTGATCCCAGCATAGGTCCTCACGTTGGGGCAGGGTGGACGTTGAAGATGATTTGGGGCCGGGGAGGTGCCCACTCCAGGTTCCCACGGACCCGAATGCGCAGCTTGTAGATGTCAGCATGCTCTCCATCATCGGGAGAGATGGGCAGCGAGTCTGGGATGGGCAGGAGCTGGAGGACAGACAAAGGGAAGACCATCAGACACCACTTTGCCCCAGCCCTGGGTGTCTGCCTAGCTTGCATCCCTGCCTGCATCGAGAGGGGCAGGGTTTGGAAGCCAAGCAGATCCCAGCACACCTGAAGGCCTGCAAGCCACTTCCAGAGGGTCCCGGCCTGGTCTGCCCCAGACACTTTGCTCAGCAGGACCAGGGTGTGGGGGAGTCCACACTGCTGGCTCCCTGGAGGTGGCACAGCAGCACTCCTTCACCTGTCGGCTCAGTGAACCACAGGCAGCTTCTGCCACCTGCCAACACCCACCCAGGCCTGTCCATAGATGCTGCCTGCTGCTGGTGCCTCCAGGCTGCACTGGTACAGCTGCTGAAAAGGGGCTACCAGCCTGTGCCTGGGTGGAGACACCCAAGTGGCTTCCATCAGGGACACTGAGCCCCTCCAACTCCCCCAGGACAGGACACAGGAGGAGGAATGGCCTGGTTCAGTGCACTGAACTTTGCCTGGGTCTTGTGGGACCAAGCGCAGCTCAGCACTATGCAGGCTGCATCAGCCTCTCACCAGGGCTATGGTCCCTGTCAGCAGCTGGATGACCCCGCCAACCAGCCTGGAGCAGAGCTGCTGGGGCTCTGCCCCATGCAGCTGTAACTCAGACCACGGCTCCCAAGTTGCACGTGGCTCTTGGCTGTGCCTCCTTGCTGGAGACATTATCAGACAGGGAATGTTTCCTTCAGCACATGCAGTGGGTGGGCCATCCCAACAATCACAAATCATTTAATATGCATGTTCCAACATTAATAACGGGTGGCTGCTCCTTCATGGTTGTTTAAAACCAGGATATCTCCCTCCAGCACATGTGGTGATGAGGAGCTCTGGTTAACCCTGGCAACTGCAGAGCTGAGCTGGGCTGAGCTGAGCCCCCATGCTGCTGGGGGCTAAGGCAGCTCTCCTCCATCCTACCAATCTCAGGAGCACCCTCATCAGCATCAGCTTGTCTCTCCCAAGACCCCTCTTTGGGAAGAGCATGTGCCTGGAGCTTTGCCGTCTCTGAATGTGCACTCCCAGCAGCTCTGTTGCATCTCAGCCCCCAGGCCAAGAGGGTTAAATGCCAGAGCCTTCAAACAGGGTGGGGGAAACAGCACATGGCACAGGGATGCCCCCAGGGTTAGGAGACACCAGGCAGGTGAAGGTAAAACCCAGTGACCTCCCGGGGGTTGGCTCATGCTAGGAGGTTGGGCCTGTGGCTGAAGGCAATTTGTTTGACATGTTAGTAGGAAAACATCAAGTCCACAATGCACTGCTCTCCTGAGAAGCCCTGCTGGAGCATGCACTTGGCACGGGCCTGCAGGCGCCGGGAACAAGTCGAGGCCAGGACTCATTACACCCATCCTGCTGAGAGCCACGCTGCTGCACCGTGGAGCCAGGAGCCTCCCCCTGTATACAGTGCCTCCCAGGACTGAAAGGCAGCTGCAATGTCGCCCTTCAGACAGGCCCAGCAGTCCCTGCGAGAGCGCCCAACAGGCTGGGACTGGGGCAGCAGGAGCTGCAGGTTGGGACTGAGGGGCAGAGACAAAGTTTATGACAAGAGGGGGCTGGAGGCTGGGACCAAGGGGGACTCCAGCAGAGCTGGGGTGGGTACAGTTATCGGGCAGGATGGAGGGGCTGTGCAGAGCAGCTGGCATCCCACCAGCCCATGCTGGCATCCCAGCCCCCCTTACTAGCACCGGGACTGCCCAAGCTGGCTGGAAAACCCATGTCTTCTCTAGCAGGCGGCCTGGGCGGTTACTGCACACAGTGGCTCATGCCATGCACACACTGGGGCACACTCTGCCCTCTACACATACCAGCAGCAGCTTTTTGGAAAGCTGCCTTCGCTTATACCACCGGGGACGCCTAAGGAGCTTTTTTAAAGTCTGTCTCAGGCCCTGAAACCAACAGCAAACAGCCTGTAAGGCCGGGGAGCCCGTGCCATCTCCAGATGCTGATCCTTCACCCTGCCCCCAGCCATATTAGCGTGTGAGGTCAATGGAGCCAACACAGCTCCAGGCACCTGCAAGGGAGTGCCAGAGCCAGCTGCACATAGGGTCCTACACCAGGTAGTGCCCCCAGGACAAACACAATGCCTTCCACTCCCTCAAGACAGCTTGATGACTCGAGCAGTGGGTTTCTCTGCCCTTCATGCTTTTCCCCCCCAATCTCACACCCCCAGCACTCCCAGACAGCACTTCAGCATCACCCCCCAGCTGCCACGCTCACCTTCTGAGGGGCATCGTGCTCCGGGACCAACCACTCCAGCTCGGATGCAGCCGGGAGCTGCATGCCTTCAAACTGCTTCAGCAGGCCCATTGCCACCGCCTCGGCTGAGTTTGAATGCAGGAAGGTGTAGGACCTGGGCAGCAAGACAGGATAGTCAGTGCCAGAGTAGACAGTGGCCTAACACCATGGTCCCTCCCTCCCTGCCTCAGCCCCTGGGCCTTGGTGCACCCACACCTTGAATACTGTGTGCAGTTCTGGTCCCCACGTATCAAAAAGGATGTGGACCAAGGGAACTGGGAACTGCTGTTCACCGAGTTCCAGGACACTAACACTAGGGGCACCCCCTGAAACGAGTAGGCTTAAAACTAACAAGAGAAAGGACATTTTTTACGCAAGGTGTAGTTAACTTGTGGAGTTCATTGCCGCAGGAGCAGGTGGAGGCAGAGAGCAGACCCAGGTGCCAAAAGGGACTGGATAAATTAATGGAGGATCAATCTGTTAATGGCTATTGAACAGAACAGCTGAAGATGCTTCCTCTGTCATTTCTAACCCAATAAATGGTGGATGCCAGGGAGAGTATTGCATAGGGGTTAGATTCCTCTAGAGATACCTGGTTTGATGCTCTCCTTCCACTTCTGCCACTGTCAGAGACAGGATACTGGGCTAGTTGGACCATTGGTCTGGACACTGTTTATGGTCTTATGCCGTGTTTCTACAGCATGTTGCCCCAACTATGGCCTGCTCACAGGAATTACTTTGCCAATGCAGCTGCTTCTGGGGTGGTACAGTACTGCTGGAGCCCATTCAAGGCATGGGCATGAGGCATAATGCTCATTACACTGGCAGGTCAGGGCTGCACCTGATAGGCAGAGGGGGCCCTACTGAGAGCCCATGGGATGGCTGCCTGGCTCTGCTGGCGATTAGTAGGTCAGGTGCACATCAGTGAGTACCCTTCCCCCTCGGGCCCACCTCTGCTGGAGGTGGGCACAAGGAGACAGCAAGCTCAGTCTCCTGGGCAGGAAGGGACGCCCTCGATCCCTCTGCAGCACTACCCTCTGGTCATTTACAGAGTGGCACCACCGGGCACGGCTGAAAAGATGGCAGCATCCACTCAGGGCTTCAGGGAACAGGATGTGAGAGCGGGGCTGGCCAAACTGGGCCGTGCCTCTGGGGTGACTGGGGAGCGGGTCACCCCGATACAGTCCCCATCAGCTTGAACCCACTCAGGCCCGTTTCTGTTCTAAAGGTCTTATACAAACCAGGCCGTGCTGGCACTGGACCAGTCCCTTCAGGAGGGACCCTCCACTCCCCACCCCCCAGAGCTGCACCTCAGTCTTCCTGCACTCTGGGACCTGCCCTGCAGCTGCTCCCAAGGCTGAGGTTGGGAGCAGAAGGGAACGTACACAGACTCCGAGGAAAGGAAGGATTTCCGGGCAGCTGGCATGCTCTTCTTGATGTCAGCATCTGGATGGGAGATGGTGGGAGCAGAAAGGAGAGCAGGGTTAGTCTCCTCTTAGCAAGGCTCAGTGTTAAGCCCCCCACCCCCCCAGGGCGTTCTAATAGTGTGTGGTGCCCGTCCAAGGGCAGGGACCCCTGGGAGCAGACCCCAGGCAGGCTTGTGGGGGGAGCCACATTTGGTGCAGGGTATATGCCAGCCCCCAGCACACCCACGCCTGGGGCAAGGAGGGCAGGATCGTGGGTTAGTGCCGGGGTTAGGTAGCTTGCTGGGTTTCACACACTGCTGCAGAGCAGCTGTGGGACACGATGCCCTCAATGTCTGCCTTGCTGGGTCACGTCCAGCCCAGTTCATGAGGCAGAGCCGCTACCCTTCGAGGGCTGGTCAGGAGCTGGCGTGGGACAAGCTGCTGGTGGCTTAAGGCCCATGCCCAGTGCAGACTTGTCCACTGCACAACTCCCCTGGTGCTATCCCGGCAAGCATCCGCTGTCTGTGGAGCTGCTGAGGCTGTACACACTGCTATCACACCGCTGCCACCCCCACCTTCCAGGGCACTAATACAAAGCCTGGACTGGACTGGGCACACTTTAGGCCATGAGAGCAGGGCGCGCATTGAGCCTGCCAGGCCTGACCTCAGGCAGTGCTTTGCCTCTTGGTCCCTTCCTATAGACTCCGGCAGGGGCTGTGTCATGCTCCCTGATCCCTCCTCAGTGCTGGTTGCACACTCAAAGACCACGAGGAGCCAGCACCACACTGTATTCACATGGGACCGGCAGAGACCAGCAGCTGGGATGCACTGCCCAGCTCCATGGGTGTTTAACCCCCTCGAAGCTGGGCACAGACGCCTGCCGCGTGCCCTCCTGCTGCACTGTAGGCAAGCTGGTGGCGAGTGCAAGTTCCCTGTTTTATAAGAGTAAGGCCATTTGCACTCAAGATGCACTTGGCCCCGAGCCCCTGGAAATCCAACGCAGCTGTAAGAACCTCGATTCTTGCCTCTCCTGCGTAGGACACATGGAGCACGACCTCTCTGAGTGACTCGGACCTCCCTCCAGCACAGATGCTCCCCATGCAGCCTCCCTGGGCACCTCTGGCTTCCCATGCAAACCAAAGTCCTGGCACTGACAGCACACACGAGCCAGGCATGTACTGTCCCCTAAGCCATTGTACCACGCTGGGCCTCTGCCCCCAACACCACATTGCTCCTCGGTAGAAGCCACTGGCACCCCCCAGCACCCCAGACTGCTCCCCACCCTCTCCCACCAAAAACACCTTCCCCTCCAAACCTCAGTCTGTGCTACATCAGGAGGCCGGAGGGCAGCAGAAGATGCTGTGCTCACAGGTTGCCCCAGCAAACAGACTCCATCACCCACCAGAGAGCTCAGCTCCTTTGTGCTGAGCACAGCGTGCACATCCAGGCTGGTGATGTCCTCCCACCCTGCAGGGCCCCACAGCCCTGCTACCTGAGACCAAAGCCAAGGCACAGCAATGTGAGCCATGGTCCTCAGAGCTGGGGTGGAACCCAGGTGTCCCCAGGCTCCTGTTCGGACCACACCACCTCATCCCACTGACCCCCTGATCTGCAGACCTGAATTTGCTTCAGACCTGGGGCTGTCCTCAGAGCACTGGGCACTGGAGCTACAAGGCTAAGCCCTCCCGGATGTGCCACGGCCAGCCAGCAGCACAGTCAGCCCTACCCCATACCAGTGCTCTGGATCAGACAGCTCAGAGCCAGGGCATTCGGCTCCACATCGCCCACAGGCGGGATCATCCTTGCAAGCCTTCCCAGGGGGCAGCAATGATGGACTTCCCCAGGCCTCAGCACCGAGCCGGGGACATTCCCTGTAAGGCATCAGCTCCTGCCCAGAGCTGACACCAGTGCAGCCCGTCTGACAGGTCTCATCCTAGCCTGGCCTGATGGCTCTCAAGCTGCCCATCACCTTGGCATCTGGGCGTCAGATGAGGCACAGACAAGACCAGAGATCAAAATACTTTGAGGTCTGCTTTCCTGGCAGCTCCCTGATGCTACAGGCAGCAGAGCTGCGCTGGCACACCCAGGAAATGCCCCACACCCAAGCGCAGACATGGCTGCAGCCAGCTGGGAAGGGCTCGGAGCTGCTTTCAGTGGCAGCTGCCCACCTAAATACAGGTGAGAGCACAGCTGTCACTGTGGGGCTGAGCAAAGCTCCCCCCAGAAGCAGGCTGCTGGGGGCAGCGAAGGCTTCCAACGACTCCAGAGAAGCCTGGAAGCCCCTGACCACTGTGGAACAGCACTGGGCAGGCGCTGCTGGGTGTCTGGTTCAGGGCTATCACTGCTGGAGCAGGGCAGGGAAACCACCCCTTGGTCTCACCTCCCAGGAGGCACCTCACTTGGCCTCAGCATGAAGGCCACCATGCCCCTGCTCTCAGCCCTGACAGATGGGGCCTGCCTCTGAGGCTGTTGCTGGATGAGCCACACCAAGCACTGTGGGGGCAAAGCCAGGGCAGGGGCAAGGCTGTTCAGCCCTTTGCTGTAGCTTCCCACTGATCTGCCCCTCACTGCATTCACCTCCGATCCTTTCCCTCCAGCCTTCAGATGACAATTGTGGCTTCCAGACGTGCAAGCTCTGGGAAACCCTGGAGTGAGGCTGGTGAGAAACCAGATGGCATGCGCAGAGCAGTGAGCTGGCGGAGAGTGGACGGAGCTGGGCTCCAGGGGTTTATTCAGGGGTCAGCGTCCAGCCTGCAGCCTGCCAAGTCCCCTGGGGTCCCCCTACTCCCTGCAACCCTGACACACCTGGGCGACGCACACGGACAGGTGAGCACACACACACACACATGCAGCTGTGGGGAGCACTCTCGGGTACTACCTGAGAATAGGGAAGCCATTGACACCGAGAGCCCGTTCTTGGACATTTGAATCAGGTTAGATCCATCGCTACCATCTGCATGACACGGTGATGACAAAACAGGTCGCTTCAGTGCTTGGCCAGGCCAGGGAGAAAGGGCATCAACATGACAGCAAGCGAGTGGGGACTGAGGGGATGCCCAGGACAGGACGCAGGCCCCTGCCTCAGTCTTCACAACCAACCCCAGGCTCTAGCCTGCCAGGACCCAACCTAGGGCCAGGGCTGTCAGCAGCCAAGGACAGAGGAACAGGAAGACTGAGGGACATTTATCAGAGACTGCAGAAAGCCCCAGTCCAGCCTGGTGGAAGACAGGGCAGCGGTTTCTTCATTAGTGCCCCTTTATAGTCAGCCAGTGGGAATTGCTGCTGACCAAGGGGCACCTACTGTGGGGGTCATCCCACCACCCTGCTGGGTACGAGCTGAGGATACAGCGCCCCCAGCCCCAGACTAACACCTGACTGCAGCTGGGAGGCCAGGGTTTTAAGAGTCCAGCGCACCTGGCTATGAGGGGATAGGGACTGCTGGTAGGGACAGTACAACTACACGGGCAAACAACCCAGTCCCTTGGCCTGACTACTCCCCATCAAGGCAACCTGCTAGGAGTAGTGAACTAAAGGGTTGTTTGGAATATATGAAGGGTCCCCCAGGCAAATCACTCAACCCTTCTATGTGCACGGGTCCAGCCAAAGGCTGCTAAGGCCTCACTCCGGTTTTGGACGGCACCTGGGATTCCAACTCAACACCCAGTTCAGGGCCATTGGCCAAAGCAAGGCATGCCCCTTGCAGGCACAGCCCCACGGATAGCAGTGCAGTGCTACTCCCACCCCACCCTGCTGTGGGGTGCAGCCACCCTCTCTTACCTTGTATCTCGTACTCCTCAACTTCCTCCGCAGAGCCCGAGTCTGAGAGCCGCATGGAGTCACGGGAGCTGAACTGGGACCCACTGTCTGTAGCCATAAAGCCTGGAAGGTAGATCCCACCCCAGGAGGTGCCGTGAGATGGGGCCACGGAGTCAGTGGAGGCTGTTTAAAAGCAGCAAGAACTAGCAGAGTAGGAGGGGCTGTGATGTGGCTGGACTGAGTATTGGGGTACATGTGGGAGGAGAGTTAAGCTACATCCTGCTATCTCTAGCAGGGAGGGGGTGTATTATCAATGCACATGGAGCCATCATACTAGAGTCTCCCATTCAGAGCACATGGACCTTGAGGAGGGAGTTGGCACACAGAGAATGGACCTTGCTCTCACCAGCTGGGTGACAAGTCACACCCAGCAGGCAGCACTCACCATCAGAGCCCATTTCCCGGTAGCCAGGGAGCAGATGTTTGGTGCGGATTTGCTGGCGCCGGATGCGGATCTTCTGCTTGAGTTCCTGGATCTCCTTATCACTCTCCTCCTCCTCCTCCTCCAGCTGCTGGCTCAGCATGTTGCATTTCATCAGCTCAATAGCTGCAATCAGCGACTCTGAGATGCTGAAGTGGGCATTTTCCTGGAGGTAAGGGTCACACCCTTAGTGGCTTCCCGACAGCCTGCAGCACAAGACTCCCAGTACCAGACAGCCCCGCAGCTTGCACTCGGCGACAGAGAGCCAGCAACCAACAGAGGCAGTGATGGGTTGACCACATTATGGACAACTTCCCTTTCTATTGCACCTCTGGAAGCCTGCACCTCCCATCAGGCCACAGGAACATCTAAACCTTCCTTAGCCTGGTGCATCTCAGGCACAGAGTGTACCCTACATGTTGGATCTCTGCTTCTGGTAAAGATATGTAAGTGCTTCTCTCTAGGGAACCATCTAGGACACCCCAGACAGGAAGAGGGCTGGCTCTAGACAGTCCATCAACCTGAACTTCAGCATTAAGAGATGATGCCATAACCCTGACATCTGCATTTCCATCTCTTCCATGACTATGGCATAGGCAGGGCCAGGAGGACAAGAGCCTGCTGAAGCTAAAGCGAACAGCCTGGAGAGCAGAGTCCTGGCAGGGATCTAAAGGGCTCTCCCAGGGGTCATGGAGGAAATCCAGGCAGATTCTCCTAGGCCCAGAAGGTGATCTGAGGCTGCAGGGCCTTCTCAGGGTGCCAGAAGGGTGAGATTTCAGTGAAGAGATGCATGTTCTACAGTCTTCCCCTCCTATGCTTTGTTCCAAGCACCACAGAGGAGAGGAGCACTATGGTTTCAGCAGGCTGAGAGTCGTCATCACTGCTCACAAATGCCTGGAGGCCAGTCAGGCCCGCTAGGGCCTGGACAATGGGTACATACTATGTGGCAGAAGGGTGAGATTCCACCCTAAGACAAGGCAGGGCAAGAAGCACAAACAGGGGGCTGAACCTGGCAAGTCAGCCCCAGTGCACATACCCAAGGGTGCCCCAGTGGTGGTACTGGCAGCTCCTGGCTGGGGGATGCTACAGGGCAACTTCCAGTGAGGCAGCAGTCAAGCAAGGCTGGTGCACAGCTCCAGGGCAGCGCTGTGGCACTTACACGGGCTGCCCCTTCCAGCTGCTGACCAGTGGTAGCACTGGAGGTCCTGGCCCAGCACCGGAGACCACAACCTCTGCAGCCCCTACCTTCTCCAGGTCCGCACAGCTGCCAAAGTCCTGCTCCGACAGGTAGCTGATGAGGGACTGCCCCTGCGAGGGTCTTCGGAACATCCCTTCTCCCGAACTCAGGTACTGGCTGGATTCTGGAAAGGCGAGAGACCGGTATGTGGGACGGGAGCAGCTGGGAAACCCAGTGCTGGGAAGTCCAGAGGAGCCCATGCATGAATGCCACACCCCCGTTAGTACCAGTCTGGCTGCCTCAAAACATACAGGAGTCACCAGACAAGGTCAGAGCTGCATCCTATCTTGTCTAGCAGCCAACTTCTGACCGCGACCAACTCCGGAGTAGTCAGATACCACAAACCCTGCCGCAATCACAAGCAATCCTCGTCCTCATGACAGCCCTGCCTGATCCCCAATGGCTTCTGCTGAGGGGAAGTCCCAAAGCTCTGCCTTACAGCCTCTCATCTTCCTTGGGCACTAACCCCAGCCCTCCTCACAGCTGTTACTTTATGGGGAAAGCAGCAATTGCAGAACACACTTCTTCCCCCACCCCCAGTCATTGCAACAGTCAAGTCTTTGGGGCAGCTGTGCACCCCACTCTGCACAAAGTCCAGGGAAGTGAGGCCATGACATTTGGGCTCTAGGCACCGCTGTATTTAGCGGTTAAGGAACTCCCTCCTTCCCATTGCTGCCAACAAGGTACAAGGGCAGCCAGGCAGAGATACATAAGCAAGCAACTCCCCCCCAAGTCAACGCCTGTTAGTAGCAACAGGCAGATGCCCTAATGCACCCACGTGGCTGTTGATGTTATAGGAAGGATTACTGAGTCCAGGGTAGGCCAACGCGTTTCCAGGGGAACTGCTGCGCTTAGGAGGCACAGGTGCAAATGGGAATCAAACATCCTGGCAGGTTCAAAGTCCTCCTGCAAACACCTATGAGAGCCAGACAAACCCCCCTGGATACGGGTTCCTTCAGCTGCTCTCTGCCCCAGCTGTACTCACCATGCTCCATGTACAGGGAGCTGGGCGTGCTCACGTCACTGCCCTGGGGGGAGCAGCACAAGGGGCCTCGGACTCGCAAAATGTCCCCATGCGATTCTGAGAGAGGAAGAGAGAAAACACCACAGCAGGTCAGTAGCCTTGAGGGGCTGACCCAACCCCGAACCCCGACCCCGTGCATGACATGGGATGGAACGAGTCAGACATCAGAGAACAGACAGGAACTGAAGGGGGACAGGACAGGGTCAAGCCAGCTGGTCTCCAGTGAGGAAGGGGATGACCTGAGCCCAAAGCAGGAGGGGCAGTGCCAGGAAAGGGCAGGCCATGAGCAGGGGATAGCTTGCCTGGGCTGGTCTCCGAGGGCGGTTTCTCCCAACAGCAATGGGGAAGCAGGAAAGGGACAAGCGGGCAGAATGGAAGAGCCTGGCTGCAGCACAGCTTGTCTGTCCTATTAGCTACTGCAATGAGGGGGAAGGACACAGAGTTAGAAAGAGCCCCTGCTCCGCTTGGCAGCAGGGCTTGGGATTGCAAGAGCTGGTCTTACAGGCTGGGTGCCTGGCGCAGGGTTCCAGGCACTCAATTCCCCCTCCAGGAAGGCAGGGGGCTAAACCTGGGGGATCACAGGGCTCTGTGGTACCAGCATACACGGAGGACGGTGGAGAAGGGTATACACTCTCTAACCTCCTCCCCTCGACGGCTCTAGCTGTGGGGAAGTAGCTTTCCTGCACACAGGAGCCCCCAGTGCTGCAGCAGCAACAACATACAGGCTCCGATACCAGCACCAACAGGGCACAGAGGTGACCCAACATGCAGCTCCCACTGCCCTCCATCTGCCTGGGTCAGCAGTCACAGCCTCGCTGGGCAGGGCTAGGGGAGGAGCTGCCCCCGTCAACGTCAGAGGCAAACAGGGCTGGTGCCTGTAAGCCTGCAACAACGGTGCGATGGGATGATGCTAAGGCCAAGTGCCTTGAGGCACGTCCCCAGCAGGATGAAGCCCTGGGCTGTTGCTGAAAGGGACGTGAAGACCGAACACACAAGGGAAGCTGTGGGGAGAAATGAGGAAGAAAAGGGTGGGTGGAGGAAGGTGTAGGTGGAACATGCAGTAGCACCAGGCACCGGGAACAGGGGGTAAACTCAATCAGCTCATACCGCTCTGCTCAGCCCCTCTGACTCAGCTGCCAGGAAGAAGTGCATGTGGGCAGCAGGGAGCACAACAGGGAGAGGACATGTCCTCTGCTAAATGAAAAGGCCAGCGCTAGGTCTCAGCCCTGCAGTCCTGGTGAGTGACGGGGCCTGGGCCAGCACAAGCAGGACAGGGCAAGCCTCATCTGGAGGAATAACTGCCTCACCTCTAGAGCTCGGGGACATCCTAAGTTGCTGCAAGGGGCTGGGTTGTGGCTTCCAGGAACTGGAGCCAGGTGAATTCGCTTTCTGCAGGCCATAAAACAGCTGTCGAGCAGTTTGGGCAGGGTCTGAGCTGAGAGCCCCATGACAACGGCTCAGTAATAAGTGTTCCACTGCTCAGCTCCAACGCCCAGCACCCACAGGCATCACACACGAGGAGCAAGAGGCTACAAGGACTCGCCTACCCCAGAGCACTGACATGAATACAGCCTCCAGGCCCAGCATGGCTGATCTCCCAATAGTGGGGAGGTACCAGCCACTAGGACCAGCAGCAGGGCTGTGCAGTGGCAAACAGCGCTGGCAAGAGTCCTGGGAGTCAAGCATCTTAATCTGCCGGCTACATGGACAGCGAGTGCAGCAATGGACCTGTGGGGAGCAGCTGCTGCACCTGTCTCAGGCACCTCCAGACTGCCCTAAGGGGTCCTGCACAGCCCTGCCTGGCTGAGGCCGAGGTGCTGAACCCCAGTGATATCCAGCGGTGAGCACTTTGGCCCCTGTAGAAGTTGGGTCACACCGCCTCACGCAGCGCAGAAGCAGCAAGACCTGGAATTGAACCCGAGTCCCAACTCCCCGTGCCATTCTCTGAGCATCACAGCATAGCTGTAGGCCAAGCACACTGCCTCGTGGGCAGACGCTGTTCCCAGCTCTGTGAACCTGAGCTCCACCAGGCAAGGGGGTGAACGTGACATATAAGCCAGCCCTTCCCTTTCTCCCAGCATGGCTCAAAAGATGTGGTGAGGTGTCCTGCTTTCCCAAAGGGGAAGGAAGCCTGCCCACACCTCACCAGTAAAGGCAGCAAAGCACCATGCACAGGAACGGAGCACGTTCTTGGTCCAGTCCGACACCCCCTCCCAAACCAAGCGGGGATCCTCACGCAGGTCACATGCATGACCTGGGTCACCCTCCACGCGCCATCAGGGACTGGGGAACGGAGAGGCTGGAATGGACATCAATGCATTAATGGAAGTCCTGAATGCAATGTAATGAGGGCTGACGTGGGGAGGGGGACACCGGCTCCCAAACCTGCCACTGGGTCTTCTATAATAATGGTGATATCCCTGAGGCCTCCTGGGCAGGCAGCAAAGAGAGAGCGTGAGAGGAGGAGAGAAAACAGACACACATGGGTTACTTGGGGGCTGCTGCTCCTGCTGGAAGGCAGCACCATGGTGTCCACCTGGCAGCAGGCCTGATGCCCACCTGCAGGAGCTCCCACAGGCCTGGCACTCACCTGCGAAGCGAGGAACAGACAGCCCAAAAAGACCTAGATTGTCTTGCAAGTCTAATGACACAAGGCCCAGTGGTAGGGCCTCTGGCACTCTGAAATGGACACCTGGAGCTGCTGGGCAGATGAGGCTCCAGAAAGAAGGCAGAAGGGCCCTGGGGAGCTCCAAAGCAGTGCCAGGCCACGGTGGAGCCCCAGGGGACCACACCAATTCGATACCTGCTGGCCATGGGAAGCCTGGCTGCAGAGCGAGGCAGGGACTTCCAGGAGTGGAGCTCAGAGCTTGGCTGAGGAGGGGGCAGGCAGAAGGCAGCTCCATCTCTGGGCATATACAGCGCAGAGGCCAGGCCCAGCTGCCACAGCGCGTGCTTTCCCCTCCCTCGCATTGCACAGCACCAGACCCCCTCAGGTCCCCACTGTGAGAGGACATTGCAAAGGGGTGTCATTAACTAATTAATGAGCGTTGATGCACATAGGCAGACACCCACTGCTGGCACCCTCTGGGACCACCCTGCAAAACCCAGTCACTCTCCTGTGCATGAGACCTCTCCCCAGACTCCATCTCATGCACAATGCTGCTCCCATCCGCTCCCCTGGTCCCAGCCTTACCATGAGCTCTCCCTGAGGCCACGTTGGTATCCGACTGGGAGCGTGCATGACTCTTCTTGGGGATCCCCTGTGTGGCCGCTGTCTGCCCCTCCGAGAAGCTGGACCTGCGCAGGATGCCCATGGCCCTGGTGCAACTGCTGGGCCCCTGCTCCCCCAAGGAGCACACTGACTCCGGCTTCTGAGAGCTGCTGGATGAGAAGAGGGGAGAGCTGCTGCTCTTGCTGCTGCTTGAGCTGCTCTGGCTGCTGGCTGCCCGGCCCCGGCGCCCCAGGTTCCCGATGGCCAGGTACTCCGGCCCGTCGTTGGCGTCGCTCTGCTGGTCGTCCTGGCTGCCCACCCAGGCGTCCTCGCTTTGGCCGGTCGTGGTGCTGGCACTCATCTCACTGGCCGGAGAGGACAAGTCCTTGGAGGAGGGAGTGCTGAGGCTGGGAAGGGGGCCAGGCTGGCCCAGAGGGGATTGGTCGTGCGGCAGCGAGGAGGGCAAGTCATGCAGGGAGCTCTCTGGAAGCTGGCTAATGCTGATTCCCACCAAGGAGCTCGCCAGTCTCCTGTCTGGAAGAGGTGGAGAGGGGGTGACGTGCTGGAATTGATGGTAGTTTTATGCAAAGTTTAGACATTGAATTTGTCTGGGATTGTTTGGACAGGGCTGATCCTGCCTCAGGCAGGGGTTAGACTAGTTGTGACCTCTGGAGCTCCCTGCCAGCCTCATTTCTCTGTGATTTTCATTGAACACAGGCCAATCCAGTCCAAGCAGATGAAAGGAAGGGATCTGCCACATTCCCTGCACACCTCAGGATTCACAAGCCTCCCTGGATAGCTGGAGGCTGAGGCTCAGTCTAGTTCATACCAAGGCCTCATATATACCACCTGAACATTTAGCCTTGAGGGCACTGCAGGGAAGCTTGGAAGGGCTGAGCTGGGGGCACAGGGTGTTTTATAGGAAACTTGTTCAGGTAGCCTGGCCGGACACAACTGTAAGGCCACAGGGTCAGAGAGTCAGGAGCTCTAACCAGAGCTGGCACTTTGCAACCCAGCCCCACATGAAGCCCCCACTGTTAGCCTCCCCCATGCCGAGGGAGCTGGCCGCCAGGCTCTGCTTACCCGAGATGCCTGTGGTGGCTGGCTGGTGCAGGCTGGAGAAGGACCCGAAGTACCGATGTGAGGGGTAGTCCGCGGGGATGACTGCCACAGACCCAGGGAGTGCGGTCAGGCTCTGGCTCTTGGTCGCCTGCGGTGGGGCTTCACCCTTCCTGGCGAACTGAAGAGACGCAGCAAAGTTAACGCAGCCCAGCAGCCACGGCTGAGGTCAGGGGCAGCTGGGCCCAGCGAGGCAGAGGAACCCACCCAAACGTGGCTGCAGCTTGTGCCAGGCAGGACCCAGCCATGGCTGTTTAGCTGTGGGGAGGGGGCGAGGGGAAGCCACAGCAGCAAAGGGAAGCGGATTATTGTTCTCAATGCAACAGCAGGCTCCAGTCTGGAAACAACCACGCTCTCCCAGCACAGTGACCCGGCGGCCCAGTGCCCCAGGAAAACAGCACTTGTGTCCTTCTGTGCTGCAGTCACACGGGTGGGGGGGGGGAAGGGCGGGAGAGCAGGTCCCCGCCCTTGCTGGGCTGGCACCAGGACTGACATGCACACAGTGAGGGCTCGGCCACGCTCAGAAAGTCATCTGCAGTTTCAGCTGGGGACCTCTTTGCAGAGCAGGGAGAGGGCCAAGGGAGAAAGCGGGAGAGACGAGGTGACCAACACAAGGTCACAGAGGCGGGAATAATGGCCAGGCCTCTCCTGCCACAACTCATCCCATTCTGATTTCGGGAACCAGACCTGAGCGTCCACTTTCATTCCTCCACAGCCCACCTTCGTCGTCCTGGGCAGCTGCAGGCAGGGGGGCTGGCCCCTCCCCAGCCTGTTTCTCTCATAGGTTTAAGCCCAAAGGAAAGGTCTGTCTTTATAGGGCTCCGGGGGTGCTGAATGGGCATTGTGCACGTGGCCACAATGCAGCAGTGTTACGGGGCAGAACACGCAGGTGGAGAAAGGACCCAGCTCACCATGGACGTGTCGATCTGAGCCAGGAGCCGGGGGTTGTTTTGCTCCACAGCCTCAAGGCACTGTAACATGGCTGTGACATGGGCCTC